GGCAGGTCCTCCAGGTGGGATCAGGATTACCGGCTGTGACTTAGTAGCCTGGGATGACTTTTAGCAGAGAAGGTCCCAGGTGGCAGCGCTGAATGCCCTCGTGTGAAAGTTTCTCTTCTCCCAGAGTGGCTTTTGGTGGTCCCGGAGGACACCCCGGGGCTTTGCTGACCTGCTCAGAGGGGCAGGGATGTTGCACATCCCTCCTGCCCAAACTCTGCAGGACTCCCCGCTATGCTCTGCAGGGATGCTCGGACTCATGCCCCTCCCCAGTACCGCCACGGTCCATGAGGGACCTGGGCCCACAGCTATTTCAGGGGATCTGAGGCTCCTCAAGGTTTTGGCTGATGGAAAGGAAAACGTTTATCCCAACATCAGCATCCCAAGGAGGAATGAGGTCATCACTGATGCAATGAGCTTTCTCAACTCCAAAGTTTCCACTTTCCATCCCTGCTAGTAATATCTAAATCTATAGGATTATGGTAAAATTCTTAATATTTGGACAAAAATTCTTAAAAATAGGACAAAAATTCTTAAAAATTCTTAGAATTAGGGCAACTTTCTTAAAAAATAACCACTTTACTTTCAGGCTGTTTGTTTTCCTCCTGCGTTTCCCAGCTTATGGAGATGGGGCTTTCACGGGATGCTCTCCACTTCTCCTGCTGTTTGGGGAATTTTTCAACCAAAAAAGGAAAAAGCAAGGGATTTTTTTAAGAAGGCAGAGCACTTGATCTGTCCTTGGGGATTATTGAACACTACTGCCAGCACCAAGTGATGGCACTTAGCATGATGGAGTGTTAATAACCCTATAACCTCAATGGGGAAACTGAGGCAGGGGCAGGCTGAGCAGAGACCTGAGCCCGGTGCAGAAGCTGGGACGCTGCTCCCAGTACAGAGGGGCTGGGGGCAGGCAGGGCACCCCGGGGTGCCCCAGCTCACTTCCAGCCCCATGGGGTGCTCTGCCCACACCGGCTCTGCATCCCCCAGGCTTCCTGCGGGGCTCCGCTCTGTGCATCACCTCTCCAAGCTTGCTCTGTAAAATGGGGCGAATAACATTCAGTTTGGTGTCTCCCAAGGGTTCAAAGAAGCTGCAGCCAGGGAGGCTATGTGGGGAGCCTGGTGATGACAGTGGCATGGCCGAGCGGTACGTGCTGCCTCTGTAGAAGCTGTGCATGGTGCCAGAGGGAGGAGGGATGCCCAGAAGCACCTCGGCACTCAGCGGGAGATGGGTCCGTCAGGCTCCAGCACCAAAGCTGCTACGAGGTTTCCCATCATCAGTCCCCAGCAAAGTGGTCCCAGCACAAGCCCTGCAGTCCCTTCCTCCAGAAGATGCCCTGCCTCACCTCATCCCAGAGAAATGCTATTTGAACAGCTCAAAAAGTAGAGTAAAAGCCTGATTTTTTCAGCTGGGCTTTCAGTTCTCCCATCTTCCAAACCATAGCTCTCCACTTCGCCTGGACGCCCAGCCTGGGGTGGAGGCAGGGTGGACGGATCTGAAAATGCCTCTGTGGCTGAGCTTGCTGCTTTGTGCACGTCTGTGGTTTAGCAAATGATTTCGCTTTCTACACATGGGCTTTGTCCTGTTTCTAAGAATTTACAGAACACCACATACACAAGACACTTCTCTTTTAATGGGCTTTTTGTTTCTATTTTAGGCTGAAACCTGAATAATTTGAAACGAAAGGACATTCTTGCACTGGAAGCAGCCCGGTGTGCGGCATAGCCCGGAACATGACCACGGAGAGTTTCGCAGAGTTCCTGAATAAACTCAAGGAAATCCACGAGAAAGAGGTCCAAGGTAAGGAAACGTGAGAAGTGTTATTAAAAACTAGCAGAGGTCCTTTTTTTGTGATGCCACCTTGACCTGTTTGGTTTGAAATAACCCAAAGGGAGGAGGAGCAGGTGTAGATTATGGAGCTTCAGGAATTGGGGCTCAGCAAGCATCACCCATGGGGATGGGTGGGGAAGCAGGGTCACAGCCTGGCCCTCAGGGGACCACACCATCCGACAGCACCTTGGTGTGATTTATTCATCTTATCCCAATGGAGAACAAGGTTTGCTGAGAAAATCAGTAACTTTCTGGACCATGAGGAGGAGCAGAAGAGAGAAGGTGTCTCCTGCATCCGATATCTCTGTAGATATCCCACCTGCGGGAATCCCACTTGCTCCAAGCATTAATTCACAGAGGATTTGGCTCCTTTCCTGCTCCTGCTGCGGTGATAAAGGCAAATTGGGAGGTCTGGAGAATTGACACGCACACCCACTGCCATCTCCTCCGAGTGACGTGGATTGGAGTGTGTCTGGATACTGAGGGATCAAAGGAAAAGTGGAAAGGTGCAATAATCTGTAAGACAGCAGGAGCAGGAATACGAGGCTGTGTAAAAGAAAACCTTAGAGTCAGGTTAGATAGTTTATTCCTCCAGGGAATACTCCTCGGGTCATACATTATTAAAATAAGAACTATTAGGTTAAGCAACCAAATCCAATTGTTTTCCTATTAGAATAATTCCCAGTGTCAATATTATGAACAAAGCAACAGCGCTTTTGGAGGATTCTGGTTTATGAATTCATTCTTCTCTTGTGTAATTTCAAGCCATGTGAGAGTTAGAGGAAACTGTTGAGCAATTTAAACCACATGTTTACATCTACTTTGCATAAAATGGATTTGACAAGCTGTAACGTCTGCAGATCCATCAAGAAACGACGTTCTTGTTCAGCTGTAAATATCCTCCATGATGCTTTGCAGCCCTGAGTGTCATAAAATACTGCCCACCTGGTAAATGCGTGCCGTAATGAGAAATAAGTAGAAACAAAACTGCAACAGAATTTTTGGGGGTGGGAGGGAAATGCAGACTCACTAAATAGTGGAAATACAAAATACGCTCCTATTTCCTACAACTTTTCCAGCGATATTAAACCGATATTGTTGAACACAGGCAATGTGTTATTCTTCTCAGAAATAAGGTTTGCAAATTGATGAGGTTTCTGCAAAGCCAAGCACCTTCCTGAAGTTCCACCATTCCGTTTTGTTTCTGAGTGCTGGGGAATTGGCAATGAATACTCACCTCTCCGCCTCTGTTAAATATTCCAGGTCTGCAAAGCAAGCTGACGGAGCTGACGACGGAGAAGTGCCGGTGAGCAACACCACGTCTGCTCTGCCCACGCGGCGGGACAGAGGGCGGACGGGAGGTTACACCGCTTTGTTTTCAGACCTCCCGGGCTCTCCGCCGAGGCTGCCTGGTTTAGAAAGCACAGTTTGCGTTTCTGGCTCTGCCAAGTTTAAACCTTTTGGTGACTTTCACCATGCAAGCCCCCCGCACAGGGGGGACCTGGGGTGATCCCAGCACACCTCCAGTTTGCGTTTTACCTACAAGGAAAGGCTGAGGGAGGTGGGGAAGAGAAGGCTGAGAGGGGACCTTATAAATGCCTACAAATACCTTAAGGGTGGGTCTCAAGAGGACGGGGCCAAACTTTTCCAGTGGTGCCCAGCGACAGGACAAGGGACAACGAGCACAAACTGAAGCACAGGAAGTTCCAGCTGAAGATGAGGAAGAACTTCTTCACTCTGAGGGTGACGGAGCAATGGAAA